TGCAATTATTTTCAGACTTTTTCAGTTTATAGTTTGATCCAGACTCTAAATCAAATTGGTAAAAACTAGAGCACGATTAGCCTTCTGATTGGCTGAAGGGAGCCAGGTTATGAGCTTGTAACTCAGCTCCGACAAATGTGGTCAATGAAGTCGTCGGCGAAGACGAGAAAGAAAAGTTTCTGTGGGCCTTGAGGTAATGGCGCACCCTAAAAATGGAATCTTAAAAGGTTTCGGGACTTTTGACAAACGCGCACCTGGACTCTTACCTCTGACTTAGTAAAGTCTCTCTTTGTGTTTTCAATTTTTCTCTCTCTTGGAAATCTTTTGAACAATGACGAGCTACGTAAAAGGCACTGTCGACTCAAATAATAATAATTGTTGATAACGAGAGGACAAGCTGTTTGTGAACTAACCCTGGGACGCTTAAGTACATGTGCTGTCAGGATACTAAATTTGTTTTCCAAAATGGCAGCGTCCTTATTCTAGTTTTGAGCATATTTAAAGACAATTTTGGGGTGATTGTAGATTCCGTTTTGGAAATCATTTTTTAAACATCCTTCCTATGAACAAAAAAAAATGCTGAACGATTTCACTCGGACATGAAAGGCAGGCTGTTTTTATTTGTTCCAACCCAGTCAATTCTTAGGAATTCTGCCCTCAAGCTTGGGTATGCCAAGGTTAATCAATAAAAAACTCCTAACCTCTAGAGAACTTTCTTGTAGAATATATATTCTTCTCGGCTGATGTATAGGCTCTATTTTAATCTTATGTTGTCTCTAGCATTTCCAGTGCATTTTACAGACACGAAAAGTGGTTGCCAATTCATATGAGATATAAGAGTTTAAGGTGGAATGGTCCTTTACTGCAGGCAGTGGTTATAGCCACAGAAAAAAGGTAGAGAGGGATATTTGCATTAGAGGAAATAAGTAAGGTAATATCTCATTCATTTGTCAAAACCTCTGCTTTGAAATGCAGGGTTGCTCGTCTAATTTGGAGTTTGCTGGTTAGTTTTATTGTACTGTTGAGGTTAGTAGACTAACTCGAATACCACGTGCAAACGGGAAGCGCCAGGAGTCTGATCAGGAACATTTATGTCACTCTCTGAGGTTTATCGCACGATAATTAAGCCCTATCACAACGGTGAAGGACTCATCACTCAAAGGGGAAAAATAAATGTGCGGTCTTGCAGCACGTAACAAACCAAGGATCACAAGACTTGCATAAGAATTTTAAGATAATCTAACAGGTCTAAACAATTCCTAAATATTTAGCCGGAACATTCCTAATCTCAGTAGTTCCCAATCACTTCTAAGTTTAGTAGTTCATAACAGCTGTCACTTTTGCGCTAAACGTGCACTGTTGTTTTGTTGTCCTTCTCCTTAGCTATGAACAAGATGTGGCGGCGCCCGTATCATATATTTGAGCGCATTGAAAGATTGTCATGAGATCCTTCATATGAAGAAAAAAATACTATTCGATTTCACCTGCACCAGAAATATTTTTGGTAACAAAGGCGGCTTGTTTTTAACCCTGTCAATTGTTTGGATTTGGATCATAGTTTTCTGCCCTCGAGCTAGAGTAACATATTATTTTCGTGATACGATTTTCTAGTCAATAAAGAAGATTTCAAAAAGTCTAATAAGTCACCGAAAGCGTTATACGGCTTTCACAGAGTTGTTATCTACAGGTTTATTTCATAACTAGACAGCATTTCATCGTAATGTGGACCACATTGCTTTTTAAAGAGATATGTAAGTATGTATTCGAATTAAATTAAACTTGAAATGATTATATACAATAAAACTATCCGCTAACAATTTTTTTTTGATTCGAAGATTCAGATGGTAGTCATTGTATAGCAGGCATAACACAGTTATACGCGATTCATCCAAGAGGATTGAATCCCATGCACCGAATTTCGTAATCCTGCATACAAGAGTCCTACCATGCTGTTGTCCTAAATTTTTAAGACAGATCACGATCATGCCATAATAATTGGAGTAACAGACACTGAATCTAAGATCTAATTCAAGGAAAAAGGCAAGAAAGACGAACTCTTAACAATTTCCTAGAAAACTTCAATGAAGATTATTTCTAGGCGAAAATCATATTCTCGGCTGATATGCAGGCCCTGTCTTTATCTAATGCGGTTTCCGGGATCAATTACATTTTCACAGACATGAGAAGCGTTTTTCAGTTCAAGTCGAGGTACGTTGAGAGGTCGCTAAGAGTAAGGTGAAATTTTATTTTTTAATGGCAGACAGAGATTCTAGCTACAGAAAAATGGTAGAGGAGGAAATTTGTGTTAAAGAAAGGAATTAAGATAACATCTCATTCACTGGTCACAATTTCTGCCGTGAAAAGCGGGTTGCTCGTTAAATTTGGAGTTTGCTAGTTAGCTGTCACTTTTTTACGAACTGTTTATTGTTGTAATGCTGTCATCCTCCTAATAAGTAAACAGAGATCGTATCAATTATTAGCAACCTTAGGAAAATTTCGTTAAACCCGCTTCCAGTCGACTCTGTCTATCGTTGTGAGCTTTATGTTAAAAAGAATTTGAAAGAGTAAAACTTTGTGGATGGAAAAGTTCTAAGTTAATTTATTTTTCTTGAAAGCAGCTGTTCGTCAATTTTTCTAGATCGTTATGGTGAACCTGTGACGTAATTCCTGCTTTCACGCTCTTCGATTCCTTTGACAAACCGTCTGGTAAAAGCAGATTTAGGAATAGATTTATTTTTGTCATCTCACTCGTAGCCTGAGCTCTTTTGTATCAGAAGCTGGACATCAATTCACATACAAGGCAAACATCTTCCAAGCATTTCAATAATTTTCTCCGCTGTCATACACTCCTGATTTCATTTAGGTCCACCCTATAGTCCTGTTAAAGTAAATTTAAAGATTGGTAAATTTTGTCATTTCGCTCACTCATAACCTCTGCTCTCTGATGTAAGAAGCAGGTTTTTGATTCATAACCATATCTCTTTCTTTCATTTTGATCGTTAATATCTGCTGTCATCCCCTCATGATTCAATTGTCTCGCAGTAGATTTAGTAATAAGTTGTTGTACAACCAATCGGAGAACGACCGTATTGTCATTATTAGATTGCTCAACAATTTCCACGGAATGATAGTTTGCTTTAAATAGAGCTCAACTTGGAACCTAGAGAAGGACGACAAACGGAGGGTTCCTCTCTGTCATTACGGGTAAGTTCAGTACGTAGTTTGTTGCTTGGTAGTTTTTTTGAAGTGGTTAACTAATGGATATACTATGTCGAAATCAGATTTGGTCTTAACAATAACAATAATAAAAAAAGGAAAAAGATCAGGAAAAAAACATTGCCTTCGGCAAAGAGGCGTGGAAATACTTTATTGTAGACGGTCCCCTCTACGCTGTTTTTTCGTGATTTTTTGGTAACATAACCATGAATATTCTTTCGATTTTCATCGTCTTTGAGTGCAAATGATTGGTAAATTTCTCCTCATCGTAAACTTAGACTTTTTGGATGAGTAACCTTTCAACCTTACTCATTATCCTGCAGTGAAATTGTACGCTAGAAGAGGTTCATTCCATGTAAAATGTTACCTTCCTTTGTTGAGTAGGCCTTGATTTAGGAATTTTGTCCTTTAAACCCACTTTGATTACCTTACACGAGCCTCCTTGGTAACGTATCCGAGGAACTAGTCTCTCTCCCTAATCTTCCCCATCTTTATTATTTTCCGTTTTGAGGCATGTCTGGAAGAGGAGGTTTTTTTCTTGTTTTGACCGGGCTTGTACTCTTGCTGGTGGAGTTTACATCGGCTCAAGACGGTAGGTTATTCGTTAGTAAGAGCTAAGGACATGTATCTTACATTTCTGATGTGTCAGTCGTCAAGATCTTACAAGGATCCCTATTTCCCATTCGAAATGATCACTCAAACAATTCATATGTATCTTCCACTAAGTCCATTATTTTTTAGTTTCAAGGTATGCTTTGAATTCATGTGCTGTTTTCAGACTCAAAAATGTCTATCCGTTCATCTATCTCGTTAAAGAGAATTTATTGCGCTTCCAAATCCCAGTGTACTCCAAGCCTAAATTTCAGAAGGTTATTGAAAACAACACTTCGCTCAACGCTTTAATTTCCACCCTTGCATCACTGAAGAGTAGAAAAAATGAAATTTGAGTCAAGCTAAATGTACATGTAGTGATTGACAGTGTATTGTTTCGGTCGTTTCTTCATAATGATATCCTTTCATCATATTATTGTTTTGGCATCCATTGCAGATTGTCAGCAACTATTAGACTTCGAAAGGGAATCACAGGAAAACTGTTTGGGACGTATACCAGAAACCAAAGGAACAATAACATTCTCAACGTCCGTAGCCAAGCTCGGCTCAAGGTCACTGAGATGGGAATCTGGCACCACAGGAAAATCGCGACTGAGGTACACCAGGCCCCGATCTGCCCGCATTAGAGGAAGCGAACTAAGCCGAGGAGGTGTGAAGATGTGGATCTACAAAGAGACTCCCTCACCTGGAAGGAGCATGCAAGTTAGATTTAGAGATACAGCTCGGAGCAACCAAGTTGGATCATTTAATATTGAATTGGGATTTAAAGGATGGCGAGGAATATGGGTGTCCTATAGGGAATGCAAACGTTACTCTCATAGCCTCAACTCTCCCGCTGCAATTTATAGGGTCGATTTTGTCTTGAGTCATCACGACATAATTTATATCGATATGCTTGACTTTGTGGGAAGAATGTCGTTTCAGTCTCGTGACAAAATAGTTCCACCTTTCACAAGATTCGGCTCACGATATGATTCTGGGAAAGTCTGGCAGCAAAGCTACCGTTGGAGTCGGCGAGCTCCGACTGCCCTTCCAGAAACGGTGGTTGCTTCAAAGTCCTTGAGTCTCACTCACATCGAGAGTCGCTTGAAAAACTGGTATTGCGATGAGAGAGAAACCACCTATGATCTCTCTGGAGAAGCCAAGAAGCGTTGGAATAAACTAGTGAGTAGCATTGACGCTGCATATCTGGAATACGATAGACTTGTATTTAGAACGCTAGACTCAGGAAAGACAGTGATAGTCGGGCCTCCTTTGTTCTGTCGCGGTTGTAAAAGAGGAACACGGGAGTATTCCTCGAAAGATCCAACAAGAAAGTTCAGCTTCGTCCAAATGCGTATCATGCTTCCTTTGGCAATAGAGTTTTATCTTAAATCCCGCGCCAAAGAAATTTCCCGAACTGTGACAGAAGAAACTCCTGAACTGAGTTCTACTAACAAAGTCGATGTGGACCGTGCCATTGAAAGGATTTGTGGAAACGACGCGAACAGGCAGAA